AAAGAAAGAAAGAAAGAAAGAAAGAAAGAAAGAAAGAAAGAAAGAAATGAAGAGGAAGATAAGAAAGAAAGAAAAGAAAGAAAAGAAAGAGAGAGAGAGAGAGGAGAGAGAGAGAGAGAGAAAGGAGAAGGGAAAGAAGGAAGGAAATGAAGAGGAAGATAAGAGAGAGAAAGGGGAAAGGAAGGGAGGAAGGAAGGAAATGAAGAAGATAAGAAAGAGAGAAAGGGGAAGGGAAGGGAAGAAGGGAAGAGAGGAAGGAAGGAAATGAAGACGAAGATAAGAAAGAGAGAGAGAGAGAGAAAGAGAGATAGAGAGAAAGGGGAAGGAGAAGGGGAGCAGAGGGGACCAGTTGATGATGAAGAGAAACAAGGGAAAGGCAGGGAGGGAGGGAAGGAGGAAGAAGTCTAGATGAAAATGTACCATTTCTAAGATCCCATCTGGCTTATATTTTCCCGCAGGCGTGAACTGCTGTGTTCCTGTAGTCCTGAAAAGGTCAGGAAAACAAAACATTCTGATTTTCTTGAATGCAGGGCAAAAAAAGCAATAAACTGTGGGTGATTCAGCAGGCCCAGTCAGTGTACTCTTGCTATTTTGAAGTTTCCACTATTTTCATACTTCCTGAGGAGTTGCAGTCTAATATGAGCTCCCACCCAACGTCTCCAAAGACTTCAGGTGGCCAAGGGAGGTTCTTTTCCCTCTTGTTGCCCAGGGTCAAACTGTCCAAGTTAAACTCTGAACCGGCACGGTGGAACAGCTTGTCCTCAACATACCACCAATTTGAAGAAGAAGAAGAGCTTTATTGTCATTGTAGAAGTACAGCGAAACGGTGGATGCACCCCAGCAACTGTTCGCAATACAATAAAACCAAAGCACTTAAAAACGAAGATAAGAAAAATAGAGTACCCACGTCTCCATTTGCAATTTGAGAGTACAATATCTACGAATATGCACAAAATATACATCCAACGCTGACCGTCATGCTTAGCCGAGTCTAATACACAAGAGATGGATTGTATTGGATTGTTTAGTGACCGGTTGAGGTTACAACAGAACTGGAGTTGTGTGATTTCCTCCTTTGGTGGACTTTCTGACAAGCAAAGTCAACGGGGGAGCCAGATTCGCTTAACAACCGTGTGATTCACTGAATGGCTGCAGCGGCTCACTTAACCACCGTGGCAAAGAAAAGCCGTAAAATGGGGCAACAACCCCCACTTGGCAAATATCTCACTTAGCGACCTACAGTTTGGGCTCCGCTTTGGGTCGTAAGTTGAGGACTAGGGGGAGCTTCTTGATGAGTGAGGGCGGAGCCTGCAGTTTTCGGGGGGGTCTACTTCAATTCCCCCATCGGAGAAGGTGAAAATAAGTTTAGATGGGGGAAAGGGCAGGAAGAGGGTTTCGTTGACATTGTGATTGGGGTTTTTTTTTCTTTCTTTCTTTCTTTTTAAATGTACCTCTCACTTACAAAGTCAACACCACTTTCTCACTGCCACCTGCACGCCACAAAATACCAGCAAGAGCCAGAATCAGGCACTGGTCCCTCTCGGGGTCAGACGGCCGGAGGCACCTGCAGGTCGCAGAAGGGAAAAGAGACAAAAAAAGAGATCCTAACCAAGAGAACTACCAAGACAAGGTATATATAAACAGGGCCCACTCCCTCCGAGCATTGATGATGTTGCCTAGCTGGGTCATGACATACGTGCAAGGAA